GGAAGGTTACATAAGTTTGTTGAAATATCTAGACAATTAGGGATATCAACATCAAAAGTTTTATGCATCGATGTCCCAACAAGATGGAACTCTACATTCCTAATGCTAGAATCTGCTTTTGTTTTTCGGCAGGTGTGTGCTTGCTATGCAAATCGAGATAACAATTTCAGTTGGTTGCCTTCGGATTTAGATTGGGAGAAATATGACAAAATCAGAAAATTCCTGTAACTTTGGAGAAGGCTGTTTATTCAATTAACTGCTGTAATTGATTGGTGTAACTTTGGTATTTTTCTCAAGTTACGGCTGTACCTTTGGAGAAGGCTGTAAGTGGAAATAACTCAACATGGCTTTGGAATGTTTCATTGTTGTTTAACTGTTGTTTATTTGGAATGTTTATTAAGTTGCTGTAAGTTTGGATTTTTTTCTCAAGTTACGGCTGTCTTTGGAGAAAACTTGAAGTAACTTTGAAAAGTTTTTAGTACCTGAATTATTCAGACTGAAATGAATATATGATGTGCATGAAAAAATTTGTAAGTGCATTTGATCCTTAGTCTATAAATAAAAGACACATTATTTTGACTAATCAGTTTTTATTCATCTCTTCTAATGCATTGGTCTTTTGGAGTTATTACTCTATAATTACAGGACTCATTTTTTTCAATGATCACGTGGAACAATCTTGATGTCTTTTAGAAGGTGAAGCTTAAAGAACAGCTTGCCAGAAAGAAGAAGCAGCAAAATGTGTGTACCCCCATGAGCTCTTCAAAGTAAATTAAGAACTTAAATGAATATTCGCGATGGATCCCAATTTGAAGAGGCTGTCTAGTGGAGGAAAATGTGAACTTAAATGATTATTCGCGAACAACGAGCCAAATTGACAGCCCTATGTGATGAAAGAAAATGTGAAGAAACAGTGATAATATTTTTGTAAATTCGTAAAATTAGGAAATAAGTTGTTTTTTGGGTCAAATTTTGTAAAAAAGGAATTAATATTCTTTGTGTAAAGTTTCAAAAATTTGTATTGAAGTTTTTTGTAAAAGATTGTATTTTGTAAATTTTCATCTTTTTTGTTTAATTTGTAAATTCTAAAATTTGTAATAAAATTTGTATTTTGTAAAATTTGATAAAAAAGTATTAATGTTTTTTTTGTAAAATTTGGTTTGCAAATTTTTTCTAGAAATTAATTCTTCAAATATGTTTTGAATTAAGTTGGTAGTTCAAACAGTTTTAATAAAAAATTGTTTTTACTTTTTTTTTAAAAAAATAAATTATTATAATAATTTAATATTATAACGAGCTAATTTCGAGCCGAACACGAGCCGAACACGAACACGATTATCATTTTCGAGCCGAACATGAAAACATTGTTCACGAGCCATTTCGAACACGAGCCGATTTCGAACACGAGCTGATTTCGAACGAGCCGAACACGAGCCAAGACTGAGCTCGCTCAGGCTCGGCTCGTTTACAGCCCTACTTTCCATCAATTTTTCTTATATTCTTTATTTTTATTTAAAAAAAATATTTTTTTGTCATTTTAATAATTTTTATTATTTATTTCAAAAAATAAATCAAGTTATTCTTAATTATACTTAAAAACTACTTCTAAATATTTTAAATATTCTTTTAAAAAATAACCATCACAAAGTTATTTGATATTTAATAATAAAAAAATTAATCTATATTTAAAAATACTTAGCAAATTCATATTATATATAAAAAACATAAAAGATATAAAAAAGCTCCTTAAATTGCTCCAAATGTTACTCTCCCTTAATTAAGAAATTCTACTGACTTACATCAAGAGCAAATAAAAGTATAAACACCTTACAATAATAAATACATCAAGAGATCAATCAACTAGTAGAAAATTTAAAAGAAAGAGCATTAATTGATATAAACCTCATTTAATAAAAAAAAATGAACTAGTTAAGGCTATAAATGAAGAGATACACATATTGAACAACTCAAAGTTAACTCGATTAGTACTTGATTATATTCGTTCAAATTAATAAATAAACAAATTTGAAATTTTTTTTTTCCAAACTCAAAATAAAATGAATCAAATTTGAACATGATCCAAACTATTTATTAATATTTATAAACTTGTTACTAACCGAATAAATTTTTAAAACTAATAGATATATTGTATATATTATTTAATTAATATGTAATTAATTAAAACTTAATTAGATATATAAATAACAAATATAAAATATAATTTAATATCAATGCATACCAATTTGATGTGATTTATTCAACTAAATTAATTTATTAATACTTATATTATTTTATTATTAAAAAAATATAATTATAACTTACCTATTATTTCTTTTAGTTGTTTGATATAAATTAATAAGATGTTAATTTATATTTATTCAACTAAATTAATTTATAAAAATATTTGTTAATAATTCTATTTAAAAAATTTGTGCTTATTCCCGTTTTTAGCCTGCATGCTAGCTTTATATGAAAATCAAATAAATAAAATTTTAATTCAATATAAAAGAGCAAATACTCCTTTAAAATTTTAATTTGTTCAAAAAATATAAACAAATTAAATATGACAATTATAAAATTCAAACAAATAAAATGTTATCATACCACGAAAGCTAGACTTAGTTCAAACTGAATAACTTATGATTTAATGAACGATCAAATTTCTAGCCGACTAAATCAGCTTGAACGGGATCAAATGCAGCTCAAAATTAGCTCGTGACTCATTACATTCAAGTTAGAGTTGATTTCGCTAGATATTAAACCTCGCTCAAATTTAAAACGAGCTAGCTCAAATTGAACTATTTGAATCCATTCCAACAAATCAAAACGAGCTAACTCATTTCAATGGATCGAATTTAAAATGAATGAACAAAAATAAATTACATTAAAAATTCTAATACCTAAACATTAGGTTATATATATATATATAATATTTAAGATTAAAAAAATATTTCGAATCTACTAACCTTCGAAGGATTAATAATTTTTCAGCTAAATTCATAATCTTAGATTTAAGAAGGATGATGTCTAATTCATGGCACTACCAAGGCTCGAGTACTTTTTAAATATTTTTCTTTATGGTAACATCAAGATATATTAAAAAACTTTTTTTTCCCGACGGTCGGTAATATGCCTGGATAGAACGAAAAATTATTGCATACGGACACCGCATGTAGAGATGCATGCGGTGCCCAACCTACACCGTAAATCACGATGATCTACGGTGAAGATACAATCAAATTTTAAAAAATTAAATAAAATAAAAATGAGGCCTACTGAAAAACATCCTCACCGTATATCACCGTGATCTACGGTGTAGATCGGACAACGCATACATCCATATATGCAGTGTCCGTATGCAATAATTTTTCGTAGAGAACAGGCTTTGTAACAACCCAAAAACACTCAATTCCAATGTATTTACATATCTAACCCTTATAGCATCAATTTTTAGATACATATCACCTAACCAAGACATAAAAAATGTATCACTTTTTGAAAATCAAAATGACAATATATATATATAGTTTTTTATGAAATATGAAAAATGTAATAAAAAAAAAAAAAACTTTAGAGGCTATATAGGTAAACACATAAGAATTAGGAGGTATGCATGTAAATGCCTACCCATTTTTGGAAAATTTACATACATACCACTGAATTTCTATAAATATACATATCTTACACCTTCAATTTTTACATATATGCCACCTTATGCATGAAACCGTGCAAAGTTAAAACATTGGCATTTTTCAATGAGTTTTGAAAGATCTGGATTCTTTAAATAAAAAAAAAAAAGAAAAATTTAGGTGTTAAACATGTAAATAAAAATATGAATTGGGTGGCATGTATGTAAATGCCCCAAAATTTTTTCAAGAGCACCCACAAAACCTCATATGAACGAAAAAATATTACATCAGTATTACATATGTAGAGTAACGTGCGTAGCAAATGAAATCACGCCACGACACCCCGCGCGGCAGAGAAAAAACCCGTGTTATTCATGTGTTATTATGTGTTATTCATGTGTTATTGTGTCATGTGAATATTCCTGGTGTTATAATAACACAATAACACATGAATAACAAGGGGGGAATATTTCCCCATGTTACTGCGTCATTTTTTTCTCTGTGGGGAATATTCCCCGTGTTATTCAGGTGTTATTGTGTGTTATTCATATGCTATTGCGTCCTGAGAATATTCTTGATGTTATAATAACACAATAGCACATGAATAACACACAATAACACATGAACAACACAGGAGGGAATATTCCTCGTGTTACTGCGCCATTTTTTTTTCCTGTCGCGTGGGGTGTCGTGGCGTGATTTCATTGGCTACGCACGTCACTTCTACATGCGTAGTACTGATGTAATATTTTTTTCCATATGAACACTATATAGCTTTGACTGGTTCAATAAAGTAGTTATTCCAATAGAACTGAATTAAGCAATTTGATCAGAAAAAGACTTCGAATGAAACAAATAAGACTGATGTCAAAATATTAATTGTTAGAAGCACAACCAAATGATCAATCGCAGTTATCTCACTGTTTTCTTCCCAAAACATCAGGCTCCCTGAAACTTCTTTCAGTTGTAAGGGCTCACCATTGCCAATTGCAGGGATGCCAATGTTGCAACAAAGCAATTTTGATACAAATAAGGCTGATCAGTCAGTCCACAGTGCAGTGTAAATACATGAAGAAAGGAAATCCATAAAGGGTGAAAGATTAATCCATAAAAATAGAAAGTGAAATGATGGATAAAGTAGAGCATTGATAAAGTACCAATTGAAGGAAGGATAATGGTAGTTAGGTAGTTAGGTAGATGCAAGCAAGTTTTCGATGTCGGCTCCTACCTCGGCAATCCTCGTGTCCTTGGAGGCTTTGGCCTCTCTAACTATGCTTCGAACATCGAAGGCAAGCGCAATTGATTTCACGACACCTTCTAGCATCTAAATATAAGTTAAGGATTGTAGAAGAAAGAAAATAGAATGGAGCAATGATATTCTTTTCATCTCATCATTAACGTAGTTCTAATAATGATGGAACCCCACAGATGGACGTTTTCTTGTTTGTGAGGATTGTGCCTTTAGTTAATCATCAAATTGATGAAATATAGCAGGAAAATGATGGATACATTAAATTGAGAGAAGGGGGGTGGGGGGAATATCATGTTTTTAGAAGTGATGATGTAAGCAGGCATTTTTATATCAGCCAAAATCTACATGCTCAAAAATGAAATAACAATATAGTAAAAAAAAAACAGAGGAAAAATTAGTCAACTGTGACCAGGTGGTAAGAAATACAGGTAGCAAAACGATTCAGTAAGAAAACATAGTCTTAGAATAAACATCAGAGATTTTCCTAAATGTCTGCCGCTATGAAGGTCAAATGCCATCGATTCAAATCCAAAATAAATTATTTTTCAGAAAGCACATGCTAAGCAAGATATACTTTTGAGATTTGAATCTAGTTTAGGGTTCTATTTGTAAATAGTAAATATAGAAGTCTAGAGGTTTATTTGTGAGAACATTGTAAGACTCTATATAAGCTCAAGTCATTAATGAATAAAACAAGTTATTAGAGCAATTATTTCTTTATGGTATCAGAGCTAAACCCTAACTTTAGCTGTTGCTACAGTGCCGCCACAGTATTGTAGCTCCTCTTTCGACCGACCAACTTTTCATAAGAACGAGAAAGAAGGAGGCTTCGGCTTCAAACATAGAGAAGAAAGAAACGCTAAGGGTGGCGAGGACTTCTGGCGTCAGTCATGGATTGCGTGAACGGTTTCGGTGCAAGGAAGAAAGAGGTGCTGGCGGTGAAGAGGGCTTTTGGTGCCAGTCTTGGATTGCACAAACGATTTCAGTGCAAAAAAGCGTGAGCGGTTTTGATACAAGGATTTTGGAGTTCTTTGTGTGCCGCAATCCTGCTCTTGCTATAAAAATGGAGAAGCGGCTTTGTTACAGTGAAGCATGAGTGGCTTCTGTACAAGGACTGCTGAATTCTATGTACGCTGCAATTTTACTGTTACTATGAAACTAGAGAAGGGCTATAAACAGTAGAGACAGAAGCAAAGGTCTTAAAATCGACAAAGAGTTTTTTCAAATAAGGGAGGAGCGGCCTTGTGATTGAGGATGTCAGGAGATAGAGATAGTGTGGGAGGTAAAAGATTAGAGCTTCTGAGGAAGATAAATCCTAAATTTTTGAAGGCTTTGGTCAGGCTCATACAGAGAGGTAACATCTTGACGGAAGCCTCTACCTAAGCACGTACTCTAACACAGGTGAAGATAGATCCTGAAGTTTTGAAGGTCTTGGTCGGGCTCATACAGGGAGCTAGCATTTCGACGAAAGCCTCTACCTCAACACGTGCTAGCCAGATCTCCCTCCTGTGGATCTGAAGCTTGATGGACTGGCTGCGTATCTAAGTTGGTCGCGTCAAATTGAGGGTGCTCTAGTAGGTAAGAGACAAGAGGGGTATCTGACGGGAGTCAAGGCTGAGCCAGTGTGTGACAGTGGTGAGGGAGATAAGTGGAGGATCATACACGCCTTACTTAACACCTGATTTCTCAATTCAACGGTTCGATCAATTGCCTCAGCAGTGGATAGAGCTTGAGATGTGAAGGACATCCGGGCAAAGCTAAAGAGGACCTATGCTGGATCTGAGAACAATATGAGAGTGTTCCAGAATCAGCGTGGCATAGAGACGGTGGTACAGGGTGATAAGCTGATTCAGGAGTACTCCATAGAGCTGAAAAAGCTGTGGAATGATCTTGATCATTTCTTACCTATGTCGAGCTGTGATGATCAAGGGTGCAATAAGGGGGATATCTTTGCTCATATGGGAACTATGCAAATTTTGACTCGTTTGACCGGCCTTTGATCAAAGGAGATTAGTCATCCTAGCCCAGACAATGACCCTTTACTGGATAAGGCCATTGCTGCGATGATACAGGCTAAAAGTCGCATGAGGATCATGAGTTTTTCGAGATGTTGAAGAGAAAACATAAAACCGCAGATGATGGGGTTGAGAATGCATTTACCCGTTGTTATCAAAGGGTAATATTGCTACTTATGCTTACTCTAACAAAGGTACTTGTGATACACATGCTCTTGCCGCTATTTCCACCATAATATCACTAGAATGGATAATAGAATTTGGTACAACTCGACATGTGACAGGTACTGCTAGAGATTTCTCTTCCTATACTCATTTAGCAGTTCTAGAGAGTATCAAAACTACAGATTATAACACATATTGTAGTTGGTAAGGGTATAATGAAGCATAACGATTCAATGACTTTGTCCAATATTTTGTATGCTCCTTTTCTAGTGAATCTTTTATCCATTAATGCCATTATTCTCCAACTAAAATATGTTGTTTGAATTGATATTCAGAAGGCGGTCTTTCAAGATAAAGGAACAAGTCAGATACTTGGAACTGAAACGTGGCATGACGGACTTTGATACTTGGATAGAGAGGAGATGAACTCAACTTCGACATCCATGGTAGAAAGTGTCGAGTAGGATAAGGAAATCTGGGAGGAGTGTGGAAGATACCTTACTTGTAACGCCCAAATTTCATAATACCAGGTAAAGTTTGGCACAATTGAAATGTACCCCAAAATTTTCATCATCCAGAATTTGATCAAAATAATTTTATTAATTCTATACATGAAATCGATCAAATTGATATAAAGTATTGTATGTAAATTGAGAATGAATTGAGAGTTATTAAATATTGAAAATATAAGTTTTATTAAATTGATAAATCCTTAATTAATCCTCCCTTAATCCTGTCAGCATTGTAGCCCACCGACTTACGTTTTTTTATTTCATTCAATCGTTGAATGGGGAGTCCCGAGCTTCGCATTTCCTTCTCGATTTCCCTTCTCTCTTCCATTCCCCTCTCCCTGTTTGTTTAACGTCGGTAGAAGTAGGCGAGACCCGCTACCCTTGCTACAGTGCAAGGGTCGTGAGATAGGTTGCGAACAACAAGAACCGAGTGGCCACCTGCGTACCGCAACTCGCAATTCGAAGCTCTGGGGTGATTTCAGTAAGCATAAATCCCTCTATTTTGTTGTACTAGGTTTCATTTCCTTCATCACCCTTCCGTTTTGACGTTTGCATCGTTTTTCGTGCTTTTCTAGTTTTTGGTGGTCATCGAAGGCACTAAGTTTGAATCGGAAGTGTCGTATATGGTCTTGCGAACTTCTAAAAGTTAGCATGAATTTAGAGAGAAGTATGGTATAAGGTGATAGAAACAACTGAAAGAGAAATTGGTATTTTTGGGAGAGCAAATATATGCCAAACAGTCCTTTTGAGGTATGTTTTAGGCTTTAATGTCATTTTTGGGTTATTAGACACTATAAGCCGAAATTTAATAAATTTATATGATGTCTATGTTTTCATGGTTGTGTTTACGAGACAACGAGCTCGAGGTTAGCGTATAGAAACTCGTAGTAGGGCTGCTCAGTATAATCAGGTGAAATAATCTTGTGTTAAATTAAGAAAAATACTCTTCTATAGATTTCATATGATTTCTAGTTTGACACTGATACATTTAGAAATTCTGGCATATTATAGATAAATATCTGCAAATAATTTATGAATGCTACATGTGACTCTATGCTATTTTATGATACAAATTATTATGCATAAGACACTAATTGCTTGCATGTATTTATTCTACAAATGATTATGAAATACTTGATTGCAAGAATTATGCTTTATAAAAGGTCTGATGAATGCTGCTATAGAAATGTCACAACAAACATTAAGGGATAGATTATTATATGAGTGCTTGCAAGTACATTATGCAATGATGCATTCCCGACTCCTGATATTTATACGGGGACAAAACTCTGAGAGTCGTTGGAATTAGGGAGTGACAGAACGTTAGGAAACCGTGTGTATCGAGGGAGCTGTTGCTAATTGCTATGTTGAGGGAAACTCAAACTTTATCGATAGTTTATATCGCCTTTGAGTAGAGTAACGATTCATGAGAAAATAACATGTAAGAAGTTGAATGCTATACATTAAACAAGTGAGATTCTTATGATATGACATCTATGAAATGAATGAACATGTTTATACTTATGATTTCCTACTTACTACCTGCCTGTTACACTATAGTTAATTTTTATAAAATTTATACCTGCTCTCTTTTCATGTTTTTTTATTATGCTAGCATGTTACGATTGTATGTAGACCTGTATAATTTCATTTGAATATGCAAGTTACTTTCTTTCTATGTTTAAAATCTTATTTTATCCCTAATTATTTTACTGAGCAGTGATGGTGAGAGATTGGTTCATGTGGAAGTGATGCACTATTCTGTGACGAGGGATGAATCGACTGAGCCCTAAAATAAGAAAAAACCCCGAGGTAGTAAGATTCAGGCAGTACATGGAGCACTATTCTGTGACGGGGGACCTTTTGCGACAATGCAGAACATCATCCTGATTGTTTTGGGTGACAATATGATATTGTTCAGTTTGTTTCATACACTAACATATCACTGTACATGGAGCATTCGTTGCATCTTTAAACACCGTCTCAATACCAAGTATTGGCAGGGAGCTTCAGAGGATCCCAAGTGAAAAATGACCATGAATGAGAGTTCGGGGCTCATGATAAAAACTAAATATAGAAAATAGTAGCACCACCAACAGGAAAAAAAACAGTTGGGTGCAAGTGGATCTTCACAGTAAAACAAAATCCTGAAGAGAAAATAGATCGTTATAAGGCATGATTGGTGGTGAAAGTGTACAGTTAAACGTCTGACATTGACTATGAAAAGACTTTTGCACCAATAATGAAGATGAGCACAGTGAGAACATTGATTTTTCTGACAATAAATGGTGGGTGAATGTTACACCAACTCAATGTAAATAATGTGTTTCTTCATGATAAGTTATTGAAGGTGTATATAAAGATACTATCAGGATTCAGT